GACGAGCCAACACATCTCCATAGCACTGACAGGTGAGACCCCCCCTTCTTCTGCTGTTTCCTGGCCCTCTGGCGGGGTATCTCTCCTCCATTCACGGGGTGAATCACAGCCCAGTCACTCAGCTCGTGAAAGGGCACCCATCGGGTCAGTGTCACTCCATGGCTCTCTGGATCCTGTGGTAGGTTTGGGGGGCCATTGGTGCTATTTTAAGTTTTGGGGGATCCCAGGGAGACATAACATTTGAAAACTTGGAGATGGTTATTGAAACAAACCCCAAATCTCCCCCCTCTCTGGTCAGTGTCAGGCCCCGGTGTCCGATACGCCGTGGGGGGGAGAGGGTCCCAGCTGATCACTAAAGTTTGGCACTAAGAGGGCACTGCTTGGAGAGCTCAGAGCCCTGGGCACTGCTGTGGGGGCAGCTCAAAGCCCTGGGCACTGCTGTGGAGAGCTCGCAGCCCTGTTCTCCTGACTCACAGAGGACCCAGCCCTGCTGCTTCTTTCATGATTATCACCAGGAGATGGATCAGTTTCTCTTGTCACCCCGTCTCCCTGCCGTCACCAATACACCAGGATCCCCTACTGCCCATGTCTGTGGGAGACGAAGGTGCACCCTGAGGTGCTCGCGCCCCGGGGGTGAAAGCACCATAAGATCTGATCTGCAAAAGGTCGCCAGTCCCAGTGGAGTGCCTGGCTTATGCTCACACCCGAGACAGGGACCAGCCGCTCCTTAGCCCTGCTGTGCACTGGGAAACCTATTCCAGCCAGCAGATCCCAGACCGGGAGGCCCTACCTCTCTCTGGGTAAGATGTGGGCACAGTGCTGCATTGGGGTTCAGTGTGGTACAGGGGTGCAGGGAGTTTCCCAAAGGAAGTCTCCATCCCCCTCTAATTTCTGAAATGAATGTAACCTGGTAACATCTGCCCCTCACCTCCCAGGCCTTCCAGAGTTCCCGGCCAGGTGTGACATTCTTCTGTAAATAACCCTGATCCCTCTTTTTCCAAACCCCCCTGCAACTTTGTTCCTCTCCCTGAGACCAGGTCTCCCTGGATACCTCCCTGGAGAGCCTGTTCCCGTCACAGGCTGGGCTGCCCTTGTAGTCACAAAGCTGCAGGATTCCAATTCGACGTGGTGGGGCCATGGAGCATCTCAGCTCCATCTGGGAGCAGCTTCCCTCAAACCCCAAATGTCACAGGGCCAGGGGGGCTCTGGGTCATGCTCCTGCGTGTACTGGATATGCCTGTCCGACCAGGAGATCCCAGCTGGGAAGAGCCAGCCCCTCTCCACCAGCCTGGGGGATGCGGCATTGGGCAGGGAGATCAGGCTGGTTTGTGTGTGTTAGGGACTTTGTTCATCTAGCTCCCCGTCCTCCTCACTTTGTGGAGGTTCCCCCCTCGATCTCCATTCCAGACCCTCCGCCACCCCCACGCTCTCTCTTGGCTCCCTGCACCCCATCTCTATCCGAGGGGAGTCAGTCACCCTCAAGTGCTTGTCTCCCAGGAGTGAGAGGGCGACGGGATACAGGGTCCTCAATCACAGAACAGATCGCCAAATGAGTCTTCAGCCAGGGCACCTCAGTGATCAGCACGACTTACTCAGCAGAAAACATGTGTGACGCTCCCCGGGGACACCCAGGGCTCTGAGGCATGTTCCTACCACCTGCCTTTAGCGTGAGGAAGCCTGGTCTGTGCTTGCTGGGGGCAGCTTCCTGACTGCCTGGTCTCAGCCACACGAGCCCTCCCCTCCCCGCCCCTGCAGGCTGAGTTGGCCCTGGGCAGGAGCTGCCCCCCTCACGTACCAAGGAGAGGATGCTGGTACCACTGGCTTCCCCGTCAGTGAGATCTCTGCTGCTCAGCGTTTGCATGGCTCAACGGATAACATCTGCCCCTCACCTCCCAGGTCCTTCCAGCGATCTCTGCCGGGTGAGACCTTCTGTATCTAACACTGACCCCTGTTTTCCAGACCCCTTTGTAGCCCGGTGCCTCTCCCTGAGCCGTGATCTCCCTGGGTACCTCCCTGGAGAGCCGGTTCCCCTCACAGGCTGGGCTACTCTGGGGATCACCAACTTGCAGGATTCTGATGTAACAAGTTCTCCAGCTCCTGTTACCCCTCTTAGTGCCAGTGCAGGGTCAATACCCGTCACACAGGGTCAAGGTTTGGGGGACTGGAAAAGCTCCCCGGGCCCGTCACTCCCCGTCTGTGCAAACGCTCCCTCTGACGCAGAAGAAACATTGGTTAAAAAAACAGCCCAAGGGGCCAGTGGGACCAGGGGCTGGTTTCAGAGTCTTCGCTAGGAATGAGCAAGATCCCGGCTGGTGAGAATCAGCAAAATCTCCAAAGGAGTCTATGGGTAGAGCCAGATCAATGTAAATGACCCTGGCTCCTTTGGAGTCAATGGGGCCAGATCCCAGTTAGCTTGTGTGATGCTCCCCAGGGAGTACCCGGGGCTGTTAGACACGTCGCTACCACCTGCCCTTAGGACAGGGAACCCTGGTCTGTGCCTGCTGGGGGCAGCTCCCTGCCACCCCTGGCCTCAGCCACACAAGCCCTCCCTTCCCAGCCCCTGCAGGCTGAGCTGGCCCTGGGCAGGAGCTGCCCCCCTCAGGTACCAAGGAGGGGACGCTGATCCCGTGTGCTTTCCCGGGCAGTGAGATCTCTGCTGCTCAGTGTTTGCATGGACTGGTAGTGATGAAATTACTGGGCACTGAGCTGGGGCTGGCTGGGGTGTGTGGCCAGGATCTTTCCCGCGTCTGCTCTTTTCTTGGCCCTTCCTCTGCGTCTGTGTCACCAGCCGCCCAAGTAGAAACCGTCTCCTCACCGACCCCCTTGTCTTTTCCAGACCCTGACCCGGCTCCCCAGCTCACCGTGTCCCCGCAGCAGCCTGTCTACGTAACTGGAGAAGCTGTGACCCTGGCGTGCTCAGCTGGGGTGTCCACCGTGTCCGGGGTCCGGTTCTTCAGGAACGGCCAAAAAATCCACTCCAAGGAATTCCGCTCACCCCGGTACAGTTACTCTGAGTTGATTCGACTGTCGGGGGTGTCTGGATTGCGAGCTGGAGAGTACAGCTGTAAATCCTGGAAGACAGTGTCTGGGCGAGAAATTGCATCGAAGACGAGCCAACCCATCTCCATAGCACTGACAGGTGAGACCCCCCTGTCTCCTGCTGTTTCCTGGCCCTCTGGCGGGGTATCTCTCCTCCATTCACTGGGTGAGACACAGCCCAGTCACTCAGCTCGTGACAGGGCATCCACCAGGTCAGTGTCACTCCCTGGCTCTCTGGATCCTGTGGTGGGTTTTGGGGGTGGGGCATTGGTGCTATTTTAAATTTTGGAGGATCCCAGGCAGACATAATATTTGAAAACTTGGAGATGGTTATTGAAACAAACCCCAAATCTCCCCCCTCTCTGGTCAGTGTCAGGCCCCGGTGTCCGACACGCCGTGGGGAGAGAGGGTCCCAGCTGGTCACTAATGTTTGGCACTAAGAGAGCACTGCTGTGGGGCAAGCTCACAGCCCTGGGCACTGCTGTGGAGAGCTCGCAGCCCTGTTCTCCTGACTCACAGAGGACCCAGCCCTGCTGCTTCTTTCATGATTATCACCAGGAGATGGATCAGTTTCTCTTGTCACCCCGTCCCCCTGCTGTCACCAATACACCAGGATCCCCTACTGCCCATGTGTATGGGAGACAAAGGTGCACCCTGAGGTGCTCACGCCCCGGGGGTGAAAGCACCATAAGATCCAAATTCTTCTCTGAAAGCAGGGATCTGATCTGCAAAGAGGTCCTCAGTCCCAGTGGCATGACTGGGTGATGCTCACACCTGAGACAGGGACCATATAAGTCTCCAGCGCTCTCTAATTGCTGAGATGAATGTAACCTGGTAACATTTGCCCTCACCTCCCAGGCCTTCCAGAGATCCCGGCCAGGTGTGACACTCTTCAGTAACTAATCCTGATCCTTCTTTTTCCAACCCCCCCTGCAACTCCATTCCTCTCCCTGAGCCCTGGTCTCCCTGTGTACCTCCCCGGAGAGCCTGTTCCCCTCACAGGCTGGGCTGCCACTGGGGTCACAAAGATGCAGGATCCAATTCGATGTGTTGGGGCCATGGAGCATCTCACCTGGGGGCTCATCTGGGGGTAGCTTCCCTCAAACCCTGAATGTCACAGGGCCAGGGGGGCTCTGGGTCATGCACCTGCGTGTACTGGCGCCTGTCTGACCGGGTGATCCCAGCTGGGATGAACCAGCCCCTCTCCACCAGCCTGGGGGAGGCGGCACTGGGCAGGGAGATCAGGTTGATTTGTGTATGTTAGGAACTTTGTTCATTTATCTCCCCATCCTCCTCCACTTTGTGGAGGTTCCCCCCTCGATCTCCATTCCAGACCCTCCACCACCCCCACGCTGTCTCTTGGCTCCCTTTTCTCATATACGTTCCCTCCTCCTGTTGTGGGGGTCCCCCTCTCTATCTCTATACTAGACACTGCACCTCCCCCAACACGCTCTCTAGACCCGCTTCACCCCATCTATATTTGAGTGTAGCCGGTCACGCTCAGGTGCTTGGGTCTAAGGAGTGAGGAATCAATGTGGGATATAAATTATTAAATCAAAGAGGGGGCGGATTTCCAACGGCGTCTCCAGCCACGACACGTGGCTGATCAGCACAACTTATGCAGCAGACAGCGAAACGTACACCTGTCTGTACTGGAGAGTGGAGCGTGGACGTAAGTTCCCATTTGAAAGGAGCCCTCCTTTCCTGTTGTCAGTGATGGGTGAGATCCTATTTCCACCTGTGGGTGGGTGAGACATGAGACTCATCGCTGGGGAGGACCCTTCTCCATCCCTTCCAAGCTTCAGCCGGGAATTGTGCTGCTGCAGCCCCAGACCATGATCCCAGTGCTCCCAGTGCCTTCTGACTCTCCCCAGCAATGCCCCCAGCCAGACTGCCCAGAGATCCATACCAGAGCCTGGGACTTTCTCCTCTCCCCCTCTCCACTGACCTCTCTGCCCCAGATTCTCCTCTCCACAGAACAATCATCTTCCTCTCCCTCTGCTCTCCAGACCAGCTCCCAGCCTCTCTGCTTTGCCCTTCCCCCAACTCATTTCTCTTAGGCACAGACCCCGCAGCCAAGGAAGGGAGTTGAACTCCGACGTGGCCCCCATCTCAGCCAGGAGGGGCCAGCTGGGGTAACAGCTGAGGTAAAGAAACCAGAGCTCCAGACCTGGATAATCCAGGCCAGTCAATGGATCATAGATCATACTTCATAGGTTGCCAGCCCAGAAATGACCACACTGCTCATCTTGTCTGACTTCCAGCATTGCACAGGCCAGAGAACTGGAGCAGGACCAGCGCTACGTCCCTCTGGTCCCCACTCCTGCCTCTTCTGATTCCACTTCTGCTTATTATCCTCTCTCCCTCCTTCCACACTGGACTCTAGTCTTTAAATTTACATCTGCTCCTTTTACTCCCCTCCTCTTCTGCCCCCTCTTTGCTCTTTCATGCTCCTGATGAGCCTCACGCTTCAACATTTGGGCCTAACATGGCTGCCCAACTGGGAAAATGGCCTCCTCACTGCTTTACATGACCACCTAACTGGCAACATGGCTGCTATTCTGATGCCAACACAGCCACAAAATGAGGCTGCTCAGCACAGCCCAGGACACATTTATCCAATATGGCTGCCTGATTTCCAATATGGCCGCCCTTCAGAGAGCAGCACAACCTATGGCTAGTCAACATAGCCAAGGACATGGCTGCCAAACAGAAACAGATCTGGGCGTCCAACATGGCCATCTTGTGCTTCTCCCCTCTGGGAAGATAGAATCCCACCAGGACCACCCAGCTCTCAGTCAGTCTCCCTATCTACTGTGATCTCTGTAAATATCAGGGGCTGGAGCATTAGTAATGGAGGGGTGACAGAAAATGAGTCATGGCCTGGTGCCCCCGCCCACCTTCTGACCCCCATGTCACAGCCCAACATTGTATCTGACAGAAGCAATCCCCACCCCAGCCTGGCTCTCACTCATTTGTGTGGGGAGCCCCTCAGGATCCTGAAGAGAAGCACGAGACTCTGGAGAGAGAATAAAGTTCAGCTGTAAATAAATGGAATTCTGGGCACCATCTCTACTTTCTCCACCGCCATGCCTCTGCTGACCCCTCTCCTGTTTTTAATCCCCACAGATCCCCCTCCCCAGCCTTCGCTGAGCATGGATCCCCCATCCGGAGTGGTGAACGAAGGGCTCCCCCTGCTCATCACCTGCACGGGCCCCAGGGATGCTGGTCAGCGGAGGTTTCACTTCTACAAGGACAGTGTCAAGCTCATTCCTGGGAATGTGGAGTCTGAGATCAGCACCACAGAGCCCAGCACCAGGTCTATGAACATCTCTCTGCTCAGCATCCCGCAGGCTGGTCCTAACAACACCGGGGAATTCACCTGCGGGTACGAGGAGAACGTGGGTGGAAGGTGGATCCCATCCCCCAGGAGCCACGCTGTGACTGTCACTGTGACAGGTGAGACTTCCCTAATTTCTTAATCCAGCTCCTGGTTTGCTCCCATTGGAGGGGAACCATCCCCTGGAGCTGTCCAGGGAAAGGGGGTCGGATGAGGTGACAGATGTCACATGGAGATAGAAACTAAAGTGGAGATGAAAATCCTCCCTCTCCTCCCATGCCCTTTCTATCTATGATACTTCAGTGGCCACGTGACCTATTATCTGAGCTCCTCACAATGTTGTTAATGGATTTAGCCCCTCAGTACCCATTTCAGAGATGGGGAATAGAGGGAAAAAGAAGATGAGTCCCACAGGATAGAAGGGAATTGAACCCCCATAGCTAGTGTTGAAGACCAGCTCCATAACCACTGGACCATCCTTCCCCTCTTTAAAAAAGGGGAGCAGGCTGTTACAGATGGAATGTGCAATAGACAACATAGTGAGAGGTTGTCGTCACAGCAAATTTGTTTCAAGGACAGATTCCTCTGTGGGTCCCAAACCTTTTCACATGGCTGCCTGGCTGTTCTCATGTCCCCTTCCCTCCCTTTTCTTTTCTGTGGCATGAACAGCCTCACACTACACCCGTGATATTCTGTTGGGAACTGGTGGCGTCTTGCTTCTGGGTGGAGTCCTGGCTGCTCTCATCTGCTACTGCCATAGGAGGAAAAGAGGTGAGTGAAAGGGGGCAAGGGGGTGTGATCTCCCACCTGCTCCTGTGATATGGTCTCATCAAAAACAGTTCTGTAGTGATCAGTGTAAATTATTTTAAACCATTAACAACCACAAAGAATCCTACCACCGTGTGTTACGGGTACGGAAACCAAATTCTCAAATATGCCTGGTAAAGGACGTATGTACCTTTGAATAAGAAGACAAAGTACAATAAGAAGATTGAGTTCTAAAAAAATATGGATAGGCTTTCCAATGTGTAGTGATACATGTTCCATTTATG